GGGGGGCAGCCGTTGTGCTTGGCCGGCCCAGGGGCCGCTGGAGCCGGACGCCGTCTTTATCTAACCCCGTCCGGCTGCAAATTGGAACCAGGCAGGACGCGGAGCGACGCCGAGACGGGGGGCTGCTGAACACCACCGGCGGCTGGCTCTGGGGTGGGGCGGGGGCTGGTTACCTGGGGACCCCTCGCCCAGCGCTGAGACGCAGCCGCCTCTGGAGGGGGGCGCAGGGGCTGTTGACCAGCCCCACAGCAACATTTGGACCCCTCCCCGTAGAGCTGCGCCCATCCCTCCAGGCTCCTGCCCCCCAGCTGCCCCCCAGGTGGCGGATAAAGCTGAGCGTGCCCTCGGCCGCAGGTGGGGTAGACAGAAAATGGGGAGGGAGCTGGTGCCTTGTGCCCGGGCATGCTCGAACGCCGGCTCGCCCAGAGACGTGGCGGGCACGGGCGGGGGGGGAGCCCCAGGCTGGCTGGCCAAGCCCCCGACTTGTAGGGAAAAGCCTGGTGCTCGGCCGGGACACCCCCCCACCCCCCCCAGCGGGATAACGGCAGCGCTGGCCGGACAAATCCCCCAGGCCGGGAAACTGAGTCCCGGTGCCGCACGCCGCGCCAGCGGCGAAGCCGGGCTCAGAACCCAGGCGTCCGGGGGCCCAGCCCAGCCTGCGAGCCCCCCTTGCCCACACTTGGCACAAATCCACACGTCGAGGCTTGGCCGCCGCGCCCGGCAGCCCCGTTTATCAGCCAAGGAGGGGACAGCAGCAGGGGCCCCCCGTCGTATTCCCAGCCCGAGCGGGGCGGGCCTGGGGGAGGGGGGCTCCAGAGACCCCCGCCTGAGTGACAGACAGACGGATGGCGGGGGGGCAGTCAGCTGGACAAGGGGCATGGATGGGGCAGCAGCCGCTCGGCAGCTCACCAAGCAGGGCCTTGTGGAGCCCCCAGCCTGGGGTCCCGGCACCCCTAAGCCCAGCCGCGCTGTGACAGGCCCGGGGTCCCGGCGCCCCTAGGCCCAGCCGCGCTGTGACAGGCCCGGGGTCCCGGCGCCCCTAGGCCCGGCCGCGCTGTGACAGCCCCGGGGTCCCGGCGCCCCTGGGCCCGGCCGCCCTGTGACAGCCCCGGGGTCCCGGCGCCCCTAGGCCCAGCCGCCCTGTGACAGCCCCGGGGTCCCGGCGCCCCTGGGCCCGGCCGCCGTGTGACAGCCCCGGGGTCCCGGCGCCCCTAGGCCCGGCCGCGCTGCGGGTGCAGCACCACGCTGTGGTAGGCCCGGATGCAGGAGAAGGCTGTGGGCGGGATGCGCCGCGGGTCGATCAGGTTCTGCTCCAGGCGCATGGAGACCAGGCTGGAGTCCTCGGCCAGGCGCGTGTCACACAGCGCGTTCAGTGGCACCTGCCTGCGGGGGAGACGGGGTGAGGGGCCGGCCCCCAGCGCAGGGGCACGCGGCTACAGCGCCGGCTGGGCCCGGACGCCGGGGTTCCCTGCCCGGCTCTGGGTGCGCAGTGGGGCTGGTGGGTTAGAGCGGGGGTGGCGG